GGCAGCAAAAATCGCGTGTCCGGTGGCTGAAGAGAGGTGATAAGAATACATCCTACTTCCACACGGTCACGCGAACCCGCCGTAAACGAAACTATGTCGCTGGCCTGTTTAATGATGACGGGGATTGGGTAACAGATGAAAAGGGGAAGGCGGACATCACGACCAATTTTTACCAATCTCTCTTCACCTCGGAGTCGCAAATACATAATATGGCTGAGCGACTGGAGGAGCTCCCCATTGCCTCCAATGTGACCCCAGAAATGAATGCTACCCTAACCGCTGAAGTCAGTCCTCATGAGATCCGCAAAATGGTCTTTGCGATAGGCTCAAAGCAGGCGCCTGGCTCAGACGGTTTCACGGGTAAGTTTTTTAAAGCCTACTCGGAGATTGTTGGGGATTCAGTGGTGTCAGTGGTTGGCTCTTTTTTTGCCACAAGTAAAATGCTCCGGAGCTTCAATCACACTTAGTTGACTCTGATCCCAAAAGTAGATCAGGTGGAATCCATGCGTCAACTTCGCCCTATTAGCCTATGCCAGTTCGTATACAAAATAATCACCAAGATTATGACGGAAAGACTTGCAGGGATCCTGCCTATTCTTGTATCAGAAGGGCAGAATGCCTTCATCAGAGAAAGACAGATAGTGGATAACATCCTCATTGGGCATGAGTTAATGCATTATATGAAAATCAAAACCCGTGGAAAGAAAGGCTACATGGCTCTAAAGGTTGACATGGAAAAGGCCTATGATAGAGTGGAATGGTCCTTTCTTCTGGCGGTTTTGGATAAAATGGGTTTTAGCTCTGTCTGGCGAGGGTGGATTCGGGAATGTTTACAGTCAACTACTTTCTCGGTCCTTGTTAATGGGTCTCCTTCAGGATTCTTTGCGCCTTCTCGGGGGCTTCGCCAGGGATATCCTCTTTCTCCCCTGCTCTTTGTACTTTGTACTGAGGGGTTTGCTGCTTTACTCCGCAAAGCCATCTCGGAAAAGAGGCTGGCAGGAGTTAAGGTAGCGCCCCGGGCTCCTCGCATATCTCATTTGTTCTTTGCTGATGATTCTTACTTGTTCCTTCGTGGTTCCCTACAGGAGTGTGAGAATCTGATTGAAGTGCTAAATGAGTACGAAGAGTTGAGTGGTCAAAGGGTGAATTTGGAGAAATCGGCGGTGTGTTTTAGTAAGAACATTTCCTTGCCAGATCAAGAGTTCTTGGCAGCTATCCTTGGCGTGGGCGCAGTAGGGGTTCAAGATAAGTATCTTGGCCTCCCCACTTTGATAGCAAGATCCAAGACAGCCACATTCCGGTACCTGGAGGAGAAGTTACTAGAACGTCTACAAGGATGGAAGTGGAGGACTCTTCCATCGGCAGCTAAAGAAACTCTGATTAAATCTATTGCTCTAGCTTTGCCGCTCCATGTGATGTCCTGATTTCGTCTGCCATTGTCACTATGTCGTCTCTTGGACAAGCATGTGGCTAGATTCTGGTGGGAGTTGAGGAGGGATGCTCACGGGTCAGGTGGGTCTCCTAGCGGAACATGTGTAGAAGTAAACATGAGGGAGGCTTGGGTTTTCGTCGATTCGAGCATTTTAATCAAGCTCTTTTAGCGAAGATAGGATGGAGAATCCTTAATGAATCCCAATCCCTCTTAGCACAGGGGTTACGCCCTTCCTGGGGGTGGCAAAGCATTCTTTATGGGCGTCAGTTGTTGTCGACGGGGTTACGTTGGCAGATTGGAAATGGCCAGACGACCCCCTTGCTTGACTCAAACTGGATTACGCAGCAGCACCCTCTCCCCCCGGTCTTTAATCCGCGGGTCCTGCCTGAGGGAGAGGAAATAAAGGTCTCTGCAGTCATCTGCCCAGGGGAAGGTCGGTGGTGCGAGGATAAGCTTAAGCAGTGGTTTGATCCTCCAACATGCCAGGCCATTATGGCAATGCCCTTACCAAGGCGGAACATCGAAGATCGGCTGATCTGGCATGCTACTGTTGATGGTCTCTTCTCTGTTAAGTCGGCTTATCACTTGGTAGTTTGTCTAGATCAGCTGAATGGGCGGTGGCGGGCGCAGGTTAGTTGGATGGACAAGCCTAGTTGGATCCGAATTTGGGAGGCCAACATCCCTCCGAAATTGAAGATATTTGTCTGGCAACTCTTGAGCAGAATTCTGCCGACTAGTGAGGCGCTCATTGAGCGGAAAATTGAAGTCCTTCCCCGGTGTCCTGTGTGCTGGGCTCCATCAGAAACGATGGAGCACCTGTTCCTTGATTGCCCGGTGGCCAGAGCCTTGTGGACTCAGTCTGGTCTTGATCACCTTGGTGAAGGATTGCCTCGTCATACTTTCCCTCTTTTCCTGAAGAAACTGCTGGCTATCCTGCAGCAGCCCTCGCAGTTCATGGGAGTAATTGCTATCCTATGGAGGATTTGGCGATCCCGGAATTGGGTGGTCTTTGATGGGAAGCAGTTTGGGATCCCTGCTCTGATGAGGCAGTATCACCAACAGGTAGGGGAGTGGGTGATCTTACCTAATGATCCCCTGCCTCCTTCTCTGTCTCCTCCTAGTAATAGTACAGTGGGTTTAGGTGCGATAGGGGGGCCTGTGTATCGTTGGGATGGAGCAGTCCGGTCGGGATCTCACTCTGCGGGAGGATTTGTGCTCCTTAATGAGGAAGGGGAGACCCTTTGGGCTGTTGGTGTTCAGTTCCCTCTGCTGGATGACCCAATGGTGGCCGAAGTTCTTACCCTTCGCGAAGCAATCCGCTGGTGTATTACGCAGGGTTTTGTGTCAATGAGGTTTGAAGGAGATGCCAAGGTGGTCATTGAGAAGCTTTGTCAGGCTGATGTGCGTGATAGTCGGGTTGGAGCTATTTCGGAGGAGATTCTGTAGGTTTTTACGGTAAATCCGGGCTTCACTATACGATTTGTAGGCCGGGTAGCAATAGGGTAGCTCACATTGTAGCTAGACAGGCCTTGTCTTTGTTCCCGACTACGTGTCGTTATTTTGACTTTCAGGCCTGGCTGAATTCCAGAATGTAACTATCGATTTGTTTCTATCAATATATGATTATCTTTTGTAAAAAAAAAGAGTTAAATAAAAGTAGGCGATTGAAGATATCTTTAATCTCAACTATGGGTATATTAATCTACGAACTTAAGATTTGAATACAAAATGTGTGTAACTTCTTAAAATCCTAGCCAGCCCAGTTTTGCCTTTCGCCGCCATTTTAGTATATACAGGCGTGGTTAAGATTTATACATGAATCTTTCTTGGTACATGACTCGATTTATTAAAATCAAGTGAACTATGACATTGTATATGAGCGAGTTGTAATGAAGTGAACAACGGTGGAGCTATGGTAGTTCGGTAGCAGGTAGGGGCTACAGGCCTTTTAGTTTTTTATATAGGATTTTATTGTGTATGTACATATATTGAGAAAACATTAGAAAGTGGCCGGATGATGACCAGTAGCCCCCCGGAGCAGTGGTGGATATATGGGCCTTTAGGAACACCCCTAAAATTTGGCAAAATATTATCCAACTCCCGGTATTAGTTTCGTATGGAAAAATAATTATAATTAGTAATTTGTGACACTTTTAAAGTTTGAAAAAATGATTATCCTACTCTCGATAGTAGTTTGCGTATGATTAAAAAGTTAAGTGGTAGTCTGTGTTATTCAAATCTAGGACACTACTATTATTAAACATATTCTCTTGGTTGCAACTCATTTGTTGTTCTATTTTAAACACTATGTAATAGTAAAAACACTATTACTTATCCCCAACTTTGTTTTTATAAACCATCCCCAACTATTTTCAAAACCTAACAATTAAACTAATTAGGGGTTATCCTTAATTTGAATTGATTTTATGGTTACACGACAAGAGTTGAAAGTATCTCAGCTTTGAGTTACACCAAGAACAAGGTTAGAAGTCAAATATGTGAGCAGTTCGTGAATTATTGTCTAGTAGGATATACATATTTGTTAAGCAGTGTAGACATCGAGTTTATTTTGTATTCTTTTTCCACGATATGAAAACACATCATTTTTAAAAAAAGTTTGTACTAATTGAATATTTTCTTATTACGAATTAGTTAATTTATTTTTTTATTTTATTTTATTTTTAGAAGAAGACACCCTATAAAAAATTTATAAATTTGTCACTGCTATGGATTCATTTATGAATCTTTTCCAACTGCTTGAGTTATATATTGTTAAGATAACTCCGACATGTCAGCAAAATGATCACCAGGAATATTCATATTCCTTGCAGCTTCAGCTTCAGCTTCAGCTTCAGCTTCAGCTTCCTACATACATGAACTCACCAAACCAAAGAGAGAGCTGACACGTAATACCAGCCCAGAGAGAGAATGCCGGTTTTGATCGATAAAAACAGAAAATGGCAAGCACGAATTGTTTCTGGAATTATTATCTTCTTTTTTTTCGGTAATTAATTATTATCTTCTTTTACTCAGAAAATAAATTAAAAGCATAGATCTGACTCACTGCCACATGATTATAAATTTTTTTAAAAAAAGTCCATCCCAAAAAAAGCAGAGACATGCACTACTTTTAGTCTTTTACACATGCCAAGGTTCTCTTCTATTCTCTCTTCCAATTCCAGTAGAGAGAATATGATTTATTCGTTTTACTCCAATTTATTATATATATATATATATATATATTACATAAATAAATCTAATATATATATAGAGTTTAGTTCCCTTCCTCCCACCCTCCAGTCTTCTAAGAACAGGAAACGACATTTCCATCTACCTTAGTTTCTTCCCCAAAATGGAAGGTTTCCTCTTCAAAGACCTCCAGCCCTCTTCCTCTCATCATCATCATCTTCTTCAGGGACAATCCAGCAGCCAAGCACATTTTCGCGGGGATTCCATCCATCATGGCGGCTACAAAGCTAAACCATCCCCTGAAAGCTCCGACGAAATTTCAAATTCAGCTTCTTCCGAGGAAGCTGTAATTATTCCCCGCACCAATCCTTCAGCTCTGATGAAAACTCCAGTAAACTTCCTGGAATCCTTCCCCAACCTCCGCAGAGCCTCCGAACCAATATTATCCCCTTGTCTTTCTCCGACAGGAACCAGCTTATCCAACTTCCCCAACCTCACTCTGTTTTCACATCCCCTGTTTTCGGCGGCCGCCCAGAGGACCAATCACCCCCCACCGTCCGCTCACCGGTTCCCCAGCAGCCGGATGCTGGGTGCTGTCAAGACGCAGCAGATGAAGAACGCGGCGGCGACAGGTGGAGGAAGCAAGCTGTTCCGAGGGGTGAGGCAGAGGCATTGGGGGAAATGGGTGGCGGAGATCAGGCTGCCGAGGAACAGGACGAGGGTGTGGTTGGGCACATTCGAGACGGCGGAGGAGGCCGCGACGGCGTACGACACGGCGGCCTACATCCTGAGAGGGGACTACGCGCATTTGAATTTCCCGGAGATGAAGCACCAGCTGAAGGCGAATCCCCTCAGCGGGAACACCGCCGCGCTCCTCGAATCCAAGCTGCGGGCAATCTCACAACAACGGCAGCCGCACGGAATTAAGAATAACAACAATACGGATAATCAAAATCAGAAGCCTCCGGCTGGGGCTGCCGCGGTTTTGCCACCTGATCAGGATGAGGAAAAGAGGCAGAGGAAAGAGGTGAGTTCGGAGCAGAGAGGCAGAGTTGCGGCGGTGGCCGGAGAGGCAGAGGAAGGTGGTGGTAATGGCGTGGATGGGGTTGGGGTTCAGTTGAGTAGAATGCCTTCCTTGGATATGGACATGATCTGGGATGCCATTTTTGTTCCATGACTCTGCTTCTATCTTCTTGTTGTTCATGACCCATTTTTCTCAGGCGTGCAGTGCAGTCGGTTCATATGGATCCTTTCTGTCTGTGTCTAGTTTTTCATTCGTTTATTGTATTTTGAGGTACAAAGATATTCGGTCTGCATTACCATTGACATTGATTGATGGAGCTGCTAACTGCAACTTTGAGCTAGCTCTGGATGAACATATTGATTGGAGAGGACAAGTGGCTATTTTTACCATTTCAGGTTTCCTGTTTTTCGGCTCCAACAAGGCGTCATCAGGATTTTGATTTTGCCATAGGAGATAAATTTTCTGGTTTGCTTCATGATCTATTTAAAACAGGGGTCACTAAGATGTAGGTTGTTATTTGATGTCATTTGACAAATATTTAAAATGAGTATGGCGCTTTTTTTTTTTTTTTTTACCGTGAAGTTGTCATTTTCTAATCGAAAACTAATTTTAAAGAAAATATCAACAAGATTTTTACTGTAACTATGTTGACAACTCAATATGCAACTCAAGAAATAGCTCTAAAGACACGTCACATGCAAGTATGCAACCGAAGAAGCCCGTTGCTAACACTTGCGGAGTGTAGGCCCAACCAAAGTATCACAGCACACACCATTTTGAAGTTCAAAGATCACAGACTTCATAGTAGCCTTTAACAATGACCTTGAGGATCTAACAATTCACTGCAAAACTGATTGCATCACAAGTCGTAACTAGCTCCGAAGTTAGGATCCAAAATGTTGTGGTGTTAGGAATTCACAAACTACTTAACATGACCTTCCAATCCTCTTACAACCAAGCCTAACAAGCAGAGACATCCTAGTAGATAACAACATCAAAATTGGTTTTCAGTGCACCACCCAACAATTAACTTGACTTGACAGAAACAAAAACAAAAACACTGGCTTGATGTCGCTCTAACTCAACTGGTCAAGATCAACATCACTAACCGAACATCATTAATTAAGTAAGGGAAAGCATTTGATAACTCAACTCGAACATCGGGATCTCGCCAACTAATTCTTAACGTAACACTCACCTCCTCAACTTTCTCACATGGCGGTTAATTTTCTTCTAACTCTTCATCCAACTTGCCTATAAGGATAAATAGAAGGAGGAGACGATAGAGACAATCAAGACTACTAATTGTTCAGCAATATCTTTTTTCTCCATAGTGTAGATCCTCCTTTCATGAAAGATTTCATCTAGAAGTTGTGGAGTTCTCAATTAACTAAGTAGGATACTTCAACCAAAATTCCAAAAATCATCAATTATTTTCATTCGACTATGGTTAGACGTATAGACCAATGTTCAGTACCTTGTAATAATTTATTTAAATCTGATCACTACCCATCAATCTAAGCACAAATATTTTCCGGGAAGAAACATGAGTGTTTAGGCTAATTAACACTTCTAATGCATTGCAGCCTTTAATTATTATTTTTTTTTTTTTTGTTGTTGTTGTTTCTTATTGAATTGTTATTTTTGACGTTGAGATGAAGACAATTTGAATGTTGCGGAAAGTCAACTCTTTGGTCGTTGTTGTTGCTGTGTCATTGTTCTTCTAATCTTCTCCCTTTTTTCCTTTTTAATATCGTTGTCATTGTTGGTGATTGGCACGAAAAATGCACTCTTTATCCACAACGACAACTGAAACATAACATTTTCTTAATTTTTAATGAGATATATTTAAGATGATTAATCGATTTTGTCAACGTTTATAATCAATCCTAAGTCAAGTTCGATCGGCAAGCAAGGCAAGAAAGAAGGATGGGGAACATGAAAACATATTTGCACAACCGCGCGTCTGTCGTCACGTCAGGTCTCATTCGCCATGAAGGCGAGGCGAGCGTCATTTCCCTTCAGGGCCTTCAACACTTCCTTGGAAGCTAGCCTTTTGGCCGTCTTCCTATCAGCAGCGCTCGATGTGTGCGCGAATATGGCACCATTAGCTTCGACCTGTATCGTGATGGACGTCAACCCATCCTCACGAGAGACAACAGGGTTCCTCTGCACAAACTGTTCTCTCTGACAGAATTCATTCAACTCCCTCACTGGCTCTAACCTTAGTGTTCCCGGAGAGACTAATGGCTCCAACAATGGCATTATGCTCCGGAAAACTACCTCCTTGTTGTATCCTGAATCAACTAGTATCGCCCCAGCCAATGATTCTATGACATCTCCAAGAACCTGAACAAGGTGTAATGAGCCCATGGATCCAGAAGAACAACAAGGACTGATCAGTTCAGCAACCTTTGATGCAATAGTGGTTTGCAAACACGGCCAATGACCCGAAAGGAATAAGGGAAGTAAAGGGATGGATGAGCAACATATTCACCAAACTGTGTTACCAATATGACTAACCTTGGGGCAAGAAGTCTCAGATTCCCAACCAAAACTTGGCCCTGAAGACAGTTCCTTCAAGTATGAAATGCAGCGACTGATGTCCTTGTGAAGTTTTTGTGATGCATGGAGGATGTGCTTATGCAACCCGTTCTTAATAGCTGATTGAGCATAACATTCATTGTTCACGGAAGCCGATCTCATGTCTGTTAATAAGCCTGGTGATATATCAGGATACTTCTTGTATAAATGCACGGTGATGAGATAATCCAGGACCGAGTCGCCAAGAAATTCCAGCCTCTGAGGAGCAACATTCAACAGTAAATACTTTGGTAGAAAGTAAGACAATAATTTAACATAAGAATAAAGCAGCTATTGCAATTACTGACGGTAAGGAAAAGGTTGTGAATAAACCTGGTAACATCTTGGGATCTCAGGGAGCATGTAGGAACCATGAGTCAATGCTTCGACCAGAAGAGATCGGTCATTAAACGAATAGTTCAACAGAGACTCCAAATGACGGATATTTACAAGCTTCTCAGGATCCACCTGGAATTGTCTCTCACGTGCCAGACTATTGTTGAACTCTACCTTTATACCAATCCAATCCATGAACAGTAAGCTTGCTGTCTCACCACCTGTGCTCAAGTAAGCACCAATAAGGGCCTCTACAACATCAGCCACTTTCTTCCTTTTCAATTTCCTTGTTCCCGCCACAAATACTTTTCTACCATTTGGTAGCAACTCCTCGCCTAAAGAGTACTCATCCTTGTTAAAACCAGGAATCATCCAGGTTTTAGGATCAAAAGGCGCATCACGGATAAAGCCCTGCAAATTTACTTTGAGCATGAGAAATGTGACTTTCATCAAGGGTAGCAGTATTCAGTAAAGCATGATGTCACAAGCTATATACAGCAAGACATCAAATGAGAGTACACTGAAGGAAATAGTACTGGAAGTTTGATGTCATATCCTAGCTTGAAAAGTGAGGCATTAGACACAATTTTGTCCTTCTTGATACTCAGAAGGCCTTCATGGTGATTATGGTAGGTCTTGAACAGTTGTTGACAGGCAGCATACTTGAGAAAAGAATCTCCAAGAGTCTCTAGTGATTCCAAGTGGATTTTCTCCTGGCATTGCTTTGTAGTAATAGCTTCCAGAACCTACCATGGAAAATTGACATTATAGCTTGTTTTACAAAACCCAAGTTTTACCAAAACCTTCATTTTTCAAATCCACGAAGCAAACGACCCCTTACCTCAATTGCCGGAAAACTAGCATGGAGTATTGATAGGGAGAGGAAGAAGAAAAGGTAAATGAGTAAATATTAGTTCGAGTCATATACAGAAATGCAAGTTACCTTATCTGAAGGAATATCGAGATTATGTCTGCTATCCAAATGCATCTTCTTCAAGTTCAAAGCAATCAATAAAGACTCGAGGCGATGCATAATTGATGGAATGAATGTGAAGGAATAAAAGGTACTAATAGATATTGGTGACATAAGTATGCAACATAGCTCAGGAGGCAGGTCCACATAAGCATTTCTTGATTCTGCAAACAGAAGAGAAAATACAAGAATATGAGGGGATGAAATAAGATAAGAAGACCTAAGTATACCTCGCAAGGCATTAGACTGCTTGTAAACAGTGGAAAATTAGACAGAGATGCTGGACCTTTTTCTTTTCGTCGTTGTTTACATCTAAGAAGACAATTGTGGACTGGAAATATCTGTCTTGCACTGACTAATGACTGCTGACTAAAGCCTAACTCAATGCCATGCCTGAAAACATCCAAATCAGTTGCCTTCACACCAAAGTGTCATGTGACAGAATGAGGAAAGGTGTCACATTAACAGAAATAAGGAAAATTTCCTCACCGTAATTTATAGTAGTCCTTGTAAGTGAGACTGGCTCCGTCGCGGATGTTCAAGATGGAATTTCCAGACAAATTATTGGAAATACCAAGTGTAGAATATAGTTTACTGTTGTGAGGGGTGTAAACCAACGAATTCTGAAGCATGCACTTGCATGCTGGTCCGTCCTTCGTTGTAATGAACCCACAAGCACCATTGCACTGCAATGGGTGCTTCTTATGATCCTCCCACGCCTGTTTATAAGAAAATAGAACAGATCTAACGCATGTCCAATCAATGCTTGCTTTTTCTGCTGAAGCAGCAGCTGGTAGCACAAAATAATCCAGATGATCACTATGCTTTAATGCTTGGATCTTTCCTTTCAACTTATCCAAGCTGTGACGGATAAGAACATTAAAAACAGTGATCTGGAACATCCTGCACAGATTAACCTACAACCAGAGTAAAAAAATCCAAAAGGATAAATCTGGTTAGACACACAATTAAAATCTGGTTAGACACACAATTAAGGAAGCAAGTGTGGAGATAAATTTGACATACCAGCATTGGCGTAAGATCCAGACATCCGATGTAGCTCAAGGTGGCTTTTAGTGTACCTCTATCAACTTCTAAACTGAAGTTTGCATTAATGATCTCTGTGTCAAGTTCACTGCACATGACAAGGACAACATCCTGGACAGCAGTCTCGCTGTCATATTCTGGAGATAGTTTAATCAAATAGCAATAGTATTTTCCGCTTCCCGGCTGGCTGCAACCCTCGCGAAAGCGCACAACC